TAAGAATTCTTTATGTATGCTTTAGTTATGTTTTAATTTGTATGCTCCCATTATTTACGAAACTGTATTACTTTTACCTTGCTGTAAAAAAAGAAAAGAAAATACCGCACAGACACAATGTATAAGAGGGAGGATTTATTTTTGCTCACGGATTCTAAGAGCTCAGTCAATGGTCACTTGGACCTATGAGTTTGACCCAACATCAGTGCAATGGAAATATGGGGCAAAGGTAAACAACTTACTTCCTTGATGACTCAGAAGTGGAGAAAAGGAAAGTGTATGCTCTGAAGACACAACCTCTGAATCCATGTACATAGTGCACAGACAGACATTTATCTGATTTCTATTCATTCTTGAGACCTGGGCTCAATTCTTCTTTCCTCAGGGAGGCACTCCCTCTCAATCCCCGTTAAAAAGTATGAGTACTTTCTTCTCCTTCACAGTTAACATCTCAGATATACATATATGCAATTAATTATATGTATATGTAATTATATATTCAGGCCAGGATAAACTTAAAGTCTTCTTTGCTCAGCTGTAAATCCCACTGTGACAACTAGCACATGGCACCAATCAATAGTTTTTGACTGAAAAAAAAAAGAACTATTTATTTGAGAGCTGTTCAGAGCCCAGTGTATTTTTTTCCCCGTCTGTTTTGATGGTCATTCTACGACCATCACTTACTAATTAGCTTGACTGATTGGACAGGAAATGGTCTCTCTTGGTAAGAGCGGAAAATTCCACACAACATATGGGGTTGTCATGGGAAGAGAGGAGCAATGAGTGGGATTTTGAAAATGTTTTCTCTCGGTGAAAGGAAGGCCTCTGCAATGCGGGAGGAGGTAATGCCCTTCATTCCTCACTGTGACTCAGGTAGTTGTTTCTATATAAACATACAAAGAAACAAGCCAACAGAGGAATGAGGCACCGTAAGCCAACATCCATCAATTCATCACAGCAGGAAACAAGAAAAGAAGCCAGGAGTCTAGAAAGGCCTGTGAGACTTGGCACAGAGCAGCATGAACACTCGAACACTGGTTCTCACAAGATCTAATTATTCCCACCAGAAAAAAAAGAAAAGAAAGGAAAAAAAACTTTCCAGAAAAGGCCATGGACTTCTCTTGTTCTGTATTTGTTAAGTATGGCCCAAGCTCCAATGAAGCCTGAAGGCTGGGCGCTTGCTCTAACAAGGGCTCAATAAAAGAGTTGATTAAACCAACAAAAAGGAGTGTTCCCTTGGGTGACCCTGTAAGATCTAGTCCTGGTCCAAGTGAGGGGCTGGTGCCAAGAACAAGTTATTTATTTGATCTTCTTCAAGTCAATCCAGGTGAGCATGTGACCATTCTCTCTCCCTCCCTCTCTCTCTCTCTCTGGTTTTTCAAGACAGGGTTTTTTTGTGTAGCCCAGTTGTCTTGGAACTCACTCTGTAGACCAGGCTGGCCTCGAACTCACAGAGATTCACTTGCCTCTGCCTCCTGAGTGCTGGGATTAAAGACATGCACCACTATATCCGTTTATAGCATGTGACCATTCTAACAATGTGCTTTGAATAGAATATAAATTCCCTTCTGTAGAAAAGGAATTTATGAAAGAAACATATGAAAGATCACCCATTCATTAGTACTTTACCAAGCATTTAATGACTTAATGGGATTTGTCATCTACTGTGCTCTGCCTCAAAGGTTTAGATTTCTTGAAATAATACCATGGTCCCAAACAAGGGAAGCCAGAGGAGGAATAATGAGTTCTAGGTAGCCTGGGCTACATGATGGGATTCTGGCCAGCCTGGAGTAGATAGATAGTAAGACTCTGTCTCAAAACAACCATAGCAGCAGCAACAACCACAACCACCAACACCACCAGCATAATAATTGGAATCTTGTCCTGACATTTACACGTTGGGTCCTTATCTCCTCACTTGTAAAGCTGGGAGCCTGTTTCTATGCATCTTCATAAGAGGTTGGAAAAATAAAAGAGATCGTGGCAGTAAAACATCTGAAGGCATAATGCAGATGTTCAGTACATATATTGTCTGACCCCTTTCAAAGAAATACCACTGGATCTGTCAATAAATTTGTTTCAAGTGGTTATTAAATGCCAGGGGTTGTCTTATACTGGGACTACAGTTATTTAGACTGATAGTAATCTATGGGCTAGGTATTGGAGATAAGCATATAAATACATATTTTCAGATTCTGGTTATACAGAAAATAAGATGAGTCTTATGGGTTGAATATTTGTGTACTATTCCCAAAATCTACGCTGAATTCCTACCCTTAGGGTGGGACAGTATCAGTAGGCGGGACCTATGGGAAGCAGTTAGGTCATGCAGGCGGACTCATGAATAGTATTAGTATTTTTCATGAAAAGCAACAGGAGAGCTTGCTCTTGCTAGAAGAAAAAAAAGACTGATCTGTAAACCAAGAAGCTGACCCCTACCACAAACCCTGATATTGGACTTTCAAACAAATGTTGTCATTTAAACTACCCAGCCTAAGGGATTTTTATTTTAGCCTGAGGTAACTAAAACAGCAGGGTTATACAATAAAGAGGAACTAGAGAATGAAACATAGCTAAGCAAGGCTTCCCTGAGAAACTAACATAATATCTGAGCCTTGGAAGAAAAGAGTGCGTCCAGCCTACTTACCCAGGGCAGGAACTGACCTAGTGTCTGGAAGTTACAGAGAAAGCCAGTGGGACTGTGAGTGACACAGGGCGAGGTATAAGGTTCTCATAGGTAGGGCCCAGATCAAGGAATCTCTAGCTACATCTGGCATTGAACAGGAAGCCAGAGCTACTTCATTAGATTAACTTAAGAGCCAGACACGGAGCCATCACGAATGTTGGACCAAGGATGCCTATAAAATGATCATAAATTCATTGGGGTCTAGAATCAGGGTTAGACTGGATGTGACCGCAGAAAAGTGGGATGGGACATGAAGTCAGTGTCCACGGCAAGCTCTTTAGACTGTAGTCTATAAAACAGCAAGGGAGAAAGAACTGACTTCCTCATGGGAGCAGCAGAAAAAGGGTTAAAGAGGTGGGGCTGGGATGTGGTTCAGTTGTAGAGTGTGTGCCGAGAATTCACAACGCACCTCCTGAACGGAGAATGGTGTCCAGATCCCCTGTGATCCCAGGACTGGGCAGGGGTGCTAATGGAAGTAGTAGACTCAAGGTCATCCTTGGCTACACAGCAAGTTCAAAGCCAGGCTGAAATACATCAGACCCTGTTTCAGGAAAAAAAGGAGGAGGAAGGGGGCGGGGGAAACCTTTACAAACTTGGAGTAGCTCCAAATTCAAAGATGCTGGCTAGAAAGTTCTTGAAGTATTAACCGAGGAAAGAAGCACCCATTGTCATCAGCTGGGGCCTGTCCTGTCCCCATACTGGTGGCCCACACCCTAAAGCATTCTGATCCCCATCACAAGGTGAAATACTGGAGAGAGAAATGCTAAACCCCAAAACCTTCTGAGATGACCTCTGCTCTAAGCAACTGAAGCAGTAAAACTATGCGGCTCCAGGGACAGAGCAGAAACTCTTCCTCATGTGAAGGAGTACATGCTCAGAAATAAAGGAGCATACCAAAAATAATTTATACTGGGTAGTCATTGTGGAAGTAAAATACAAAATCCTTCTTTTAGCCAAAAGTTCCTTAGACAATGAAAAACCCATCCTTAGCTGGGAAACAAGGGCTTGCTCTTCAGGACCCTTGGCAGCTCTTCCACCCAGTTCTTTTGGTTCTGTATCCATTGTAGGAAGGGACTCTAACCCTAGCTACTTTAGCCAAGGAGGCTGGCATCATTTGGAGCATAAGACCTAGTGAGATGTGTTCATCAAATGGGGAAGGGGGTAGAATCAGACGGTAATACTAGAGCAGCGGTGAGTGGTACACTGCTCTCTGCTTCTCTGAGCCATGCTTAGTTGCCCCCCATCACTTTAAAAATGTGCAAGCCAATGCCAGAGTCACAGGAATCTAGATGCGGAAGATCTCCACGTTGCCACCGCTGCCCTGGTTTACAGCACTAGGCGAGGACATGGTGGGAGAGGGCAGAAGCATTGAATGAATGTGTGTGAGGAATGATGGAACATTCCAGTCTTTTGAATCCTCTCCTCATACTAGATCAGCCAAGATCAACATCCTCTGTGAAATGTTCACAGAGGATAGAACAAAATGGTGCTAGATAAAGATGCTTAGACACAGAAAATCACATTTGGGGGTAATACTGTGGGTTACATACAGATGTAAGCAGGGAACAAGTGAGGAGGACCAGGGGAAGAGGGAATGAGAGGCGCATTCACCAAAGTCAAGGTTGTATGAAGAACTCTTATGGAAACCAACTGCTTTGTATGCTAATGAAGAACACATGTTTTTAAAAGAGGACCTTGAACACAGGTTCCCTGCATTTCTGTACCATGCTTTCCATTAGAATGCATAGATTGCTAGATGAAAATCTCAGCACCAGGCATGGGATATTTCCCTATGAGTTAATAGTCAGGGAGCCCCCCGCCCCAAGGGCCTCCAAAAGAACACAGGTTATTGACATTGCTCTTGGCTGTCCCCTATAGATAGATAGCAAGTGTGATTGCTGAAGACACAATACACTTGGTTTGCAGGACATAGAGAAATCAAGCTGGAACTAAGGAGAAAAGTTATCACTGCACTTACCCAGGGGTAGAATCTGCATGCTGTAATATCAATCTACTAAGCTTGATGTGCCTACTGGGGCAACAGTGGCCTGATTGGTATGGAGGTAAACACTGGTTTCTGACTGGATGGTTTGCCAACTTAGGAGGATTCTCCTGCCTTTGTGGCCAGAGTGCTAGAACTACAGGTGTGTGACGCTACGCCCTACAGATTTGACTCTTTCTGAGTGGAAGGAAAACACAGGGAGAAAACTAAGAAATGTGGAAATTAAGAAAAAAAAAAAATCAATCAATGAATGCTCCCTGAAGATGCCAGAGCAGAAAGAAAGAGAGTGAGCCCAGAGTCGATCAATCGTACCTTCATCCCTGCTGCAGCTGCAGGTCCACTGGGGTCCACAGCCTGGATGTGGCATGGCTTACTTCCTCGCACCACAAAGCCCCAGCCAACCGCATCGCCGACAATCTAGAGAGGAAAACCACAATTAGCAAACAGCAGACAGTCCCCGGCAATCTGCCTGTCTTCCCAAGAGAGTGAAGTCTGACCCCAGATTAACTACGTGTGTTAATCTTTTTTCTTCGTTTCATCTCTAGTGTGTCAGGGGAATGAAAATGTAGTGGAGACACATAACCTGTCTGCGTTGGGGAGGTCACTCCCCAGGAAAGCACTGGCAGCATACCTCTTTCTTGGGCTGACAGACAATTTCATATCACACCCCAGTAGACGTCTGAGAAGGCAGTAAAGACATCGCTGCACTTTCTCTCTAGATTCAATCTCTACCTCAACATGAGCTTTCCTTCATAGCCAAATGACAGACTTTGACCCAGCTACATCGAATTCTAGAAGAACAGCTTCGACTACTAATGGCGGGGAGACAGAAGAATCTTGGCCTCTTTTCAAAGACAGTTTTCAGTACTGAGAAAACCAAGTGAGAAAGAAGATAAAGTTCACAGTTTACAAACAGACTCTGGTCCAAACATTGTTTGGCACCAAAGCATAGTTTTTCCTACCGAATCAGAACCGGCAGGTAGGTTCCCTGGATGGCTCCAGGGGCATCCTTAGTACATATGCCACCTGAAACACCCTCACAGTCAAGGGTTAGTGATGCTGACTCTTAAACAAAAAGAAAACGAATGCTCTTAAAACATCCACTTCTCAACAGCTGGAGACTGGAGAAAAGCAAGGGGGCGAGTGGAAACTCAGATGGAAATTCTTAAGACTATCAGGCACTTGTGCGCTTTTAGGATTCACGACTATGAATTTAATATATCTAGTTTCACTTTCAAATGTACAGTGTGCCTTTTTGATACAGACATAACAGTCCTTCCTCCTCCTTATGTTAACTCCCCAGGGCTCAGCCTGGGAGGGGTCCTCAGCAATCTTCTGGGGTGTGAATGAACGTGTGGGAAAACATTCTCTTCTTTGAGGTTAATAACGAAAGTTGGGAAACAGAGGAAGAGAGAGGAGATGTTCTTCAGAAGTTTATTGATATGGATGCTGCAGGCTGAGAGCAGAAAGCAAGTGGGATAGGGGAGATGGAACCAATAAGATCACATGAACAGGCTTGGGGCTGTCTCTTAGTTGGTAGAGTACTTGCCTAGCATGCAAGAGGCTCTGGGTTTGAGCCCCTCCCTCCCCCCCCACTGCATGAACCCAATGTAGACTACAATCCTGGTATACTTCAGAGGTGGAGGCAGGAGGGTCAGAAATTCAAAGTCATCCTGGGCTACACATAGTTTGAGGTTATGTGGAATCCTTCAGAAAAATAACTTAGATTCCATTTGAATAAAATCAACAGGGTCTGGGGACGGCAGGAAGAAGGTTGTGGGAATACCATGAGGGAGAGTCCTCAGCTACAGGAGACTACACAGGGCTCTGCAGTCATATGGCTGTCCACCTCAACACACACTGACATTTACCCTACTGTTTGCTTTCTCCTCCTTAGAATAATCCCAACATCTTAGTGATTTTTAGAATTAACTGTACTGAAGAAGAAATTTTTTGTATTGTCATCTGTCTTTAAAGTACTTAATTACATTAGAATCAGTGCATAGTAGATATTTAAAAGGACACGTCAAAAAGATCTTAAAATTTCACTAACAAATCAAGGGAAGTCTGAATGCATTTCACTGCATTAGAATTCAGAAAGACTACTATTATAACCAAGCAAAAAATAAAATGTGCAGATGGGTGTGGCAACACACATCTTTATCCCAACACTTAGGATTCAAAGGCAGGAGGATCCCTGTGAGTTCAAGGCCAGCCTGGTCTACATAGTGAGTTCCAGACCATCCAGGGCTACATAATGAGACCATGTCTCAAAAAAAAAAAAAAAAAAAAAATGGAGGGGGAATTGAAGAAAAGTATTCAGTTTGGTCCCTAAGCCACACACTGACAGATGGGTGTGCACAGGAGCAGGGCTTACCGTGAATGTCTTCCTTGCATACGGAGCTCCAGGAGTCAAGAGTTCCTCAGAAGTAACAGGTCTCTTCAGCACTGAGAGACAGACATAGTGTCAGAGAATGCACAACTCTTGAGTCCTTCTCCTAGTCATTTCTTGAATGCCTCCTCTCGACTGCTAACCAGTAAGAGCGGCAACGACCTCCACCTCACGTTTATCCTCTAGCTGAGCAGACAGGAAATACCAGCAAAGAGCTGAAACCTGCCTTTTGAACCACGGGGATACAGGGAGGTTGAGAAAGTGAAGGAAAAGAAACCAAAATACCTTGGAAGGAGACAAAGAGAGGAATGGAGTTTTCCTATAAAAGAAAAGGCTATGCTTCCAATTCTTCCAGCTCTTTCTTCTAAGTCCGTTTATGTATCTAGAGATGTCAAAATGCCAGCAGTCCATTGGTCATACTGCAGATACTGGCTCCATCCGACTCCCTGTCCCCAACATACTGCACACATCCCACTTACAAAGCTTCATTCTTTCTTCTAATAAATAACCTGGAAACATAAGAATGCTGCATCGAGCTCTGAGGAGCCAGACCAGGGGACTCCCCTGAGTACTCTCCACGAGCTGGGCGACTTCCCTGCACCCTGTCAAATCCATCGTTTATTTAATCTCTACCTGAACTAACGATCTAAAGCAGCGGTTCTCAGCTTGTGGGTCTCGTCCCCTCTGAGTATGGAACGACCTTCAGAGAGGCGGCCTAAGACCAGCTGCATATCAGATATTTACATTACAATTCCTAACAGTAGCAAAATACAGTTATGAAGTCGCAATGAAAATAACTTTATGGTGGGGGTTACCACAACATGAGGAACTGTATTAAAGGGTTGCAGCATTAGCAGGGTTGAGAACTACTGTTCAAAGGAGTCTGGTTCATCACTGTACTAATCTCATTTTTTTAAAAACCTGCTTTTATTCATTCATTCATTCATTCATTCATTCAGTCATTTATAGACAGGGTCTGGCTTACATGCTGAGCCTCAGGTTCACTGTTTGTTTGTTTGTTTGTTTATTTATTTATTGATTGATTGATTTATATATAGACAGGGTCTGGCTTACATGCTGGGCCTCAGGTTCACTGTTTGTTTGTTTGTTTGTTTGTTTGTTTGTTTATTTATTTATTTATTTATTTATTTATTTATTTATTTATTTATTTATAGACAGGGTCCTGCTTACATGCTGGGCCTCAGGTTCACTGTTTGTTTGTTTATTTATTTATTTATTTATTTATTTATTTATTTATAGACAGGGTCCTGCTTACATGCTGGGCCTCAGGTTCACTGTTTGTTTGTTTATTTATTTATTTATTTATTTATTTATTTATTTATTTATTTATTTATTTATTTATTTATTTATTTATAGACAGGGTCCTGCTTACATGCTGGGCCTCAGGTTCACTGTTTGTTTGTTTGTTTGTTTGTTTATTTATTTATTTATTTATAGACAGGGTCTGGCTTACATGCTGAGCCTCAGGTTCACTGTTTGTTTGTTTGTTTGTTTGTTTGTTTATTTATTTATAGACAGGGTCCTGCTTACATGCTGAGCCTCAGGTTCACTGTTTGTTTGTTTGTTTGTTTGTTTATTTATAGACAGGGTCTTGCTTACATGCTGGGCCTCAGGTTCACTGTTTGTTTGTTTGTCTATTTATTTATTTATTTATGGACAGGGTCTTGCTTACATGCTGGGCCTCAGGTTCACTGAAATCCTGCCTGAGCCTCTAGCGCTGGGATTGAAGCTGTATATCCCCATGCCTGCTTCACTAGAAAGTGAAATTAGATATAATAAACTCATAGTAGAAAATCCTAAAACCAGAGAAGTGCCTGATGCTCTTAAGGCTTCAAGATAGAATAGAAAAATCCTAAAATCACAGAAGTAAGAGCCCGGCAGTCTTAAAGCTCGAAGTTATATATTATACTTGGTATTAAAGCTGTTAAAATTTTCTTTCTTTTTTGTCATTAGTTTTATATGTGAGAAAACTGTTTCAGAAAAGTTAATGTGCGCATGTCCAAGATGCTGTACGAAAGCATGGGTAGTACAATTAGGATCCAATTCAGGCATGGGTGCCAGGGCCCATGTTCTCAGCGACTGTCACGCTGTCCTCCTGTTCTATGCTGTCTCAGAAATTCTGAAAGAGAACAGTTTGGAGGGCTGTCCGTCTATTCTCAGCTCACTGATGTTGTCTACCAAGGCAACTGAGACAGCTGCATGAAAGCCCCCGAGTGATGAACATTGCCATCCATCCTCCAGTAATGAATTTCCCTGTCTTTTCTTTGATCGTTTGGAATGGGAGAGGGGGCTGTCCGAGCCTTCCAGGGGAGCTAGTGGCTATAGGGCACAGGGACCATCCAAACATGGGTACATGCACAGCAGAGATTTAAGTGCCACAAAATATGAAAGGAGCCAGGGCCAGGGTCCAATCTGGAGAAGCGCCCACCTCCAGTTCTCTTTGCTGGTGGCATTCACTCAGAGGTCAGACACTGGCCCCCAACAAGTGTGCAGCCGCAAGGGCCAGGCCTGCATGATCCCCCTGGCAGCTGGGCCCACTTACCGGGTGAGCCCCAGGCTTAAGAAGCACTCTCCTAGAGAAGAGCTAAGAATTGCTTCTTGTGAAGGGGACAGGTGGTTGGGATTATTACTTCTGCTTTTCAGAAAGCTTTGAACACGAATCAATGTTTGCTAAGGATGAGGGACCAGGTCAAATATCAAGATGAGAAATGAATGTCTCAGGAGACAGAGAGGAGGTAGGAAAAGCAGTGAGTGTATGAGGGTTGAGATCTTATTGCTTAGCAGATGAGCTCCTCTCCAGGCCTGTGACTCCTCAGGGGGTGATGAAAATTAATGACATTTTTGGCAGCAGGGCCGGCCGTTTATTTTAATGTTCTTTTTCTTTTTCTTGGGTTGAGAAACAGAATCTTTGAGACCCAGGGAATTATCCTGCAGATTTCCCTCTTACTCACCACCATGACACAGATTACGGCAACAGCTATGGCTTTGTTCTTTTGGGAGAGCGGCGAGGTCAGATACTTATATCTACTACTAAATAGATATTATTCTGATATATAGAGATGGCTAAAATGTTTATTTATCAGAGAGTGTGTGTGTGCCTGTGAAAGAGAGACAGAGACAGACAGAGATAGACACACAGAGAGGCTACGAGGTCAGAAAATTTTGTGGCATCGGCTCTTTCCTTGAATGTTTACATAGGTTCTGAGGGTTCTGGGGATTGAACTCAGGTTGTCAGGGTTGTATGGCAAACACTTTTATGTTCTAAGCCATCTCGCCCTTATGATGGTTCAAAGTCCTCATGGAGGCTGATGAATAGGTTTTGGAACTGCAAGACACCGATGAATTCCAAGGGGCGGGCTTCTGTATACCCACCCTTCTTCCTTTGAGTGTTAGGCACTGAGTACAAGACAGTAATCCCAGCATCCAGCAGGGAGACTGTAGCAAGTTCAGGGCCAGCCTGGGCTACATAATGAATTCCAGACATGACAGGACTACATAGCAAGACCCTATCTCTGCAAACAAACAAACAAACAAAGAGAAAGGAAGGGAGGGAGGGAGGGAGGGAAGGAGGGAGGGAGGAAAGAAGGAAGGAAGGAAAAACACAGGTTCGTATAGATTCTTGCTTGCCATGGTCTGGGAAAGCAGTTCTTTCTCTGCTGCATTTGCGAGTGGCTGAGGCCCTTTTGAGAGCCAAGGAACTCCTCTCAGCTGCTGATACCAGTTCCTGGGAGTGCTGGTGTTGGACAGTCCCCAGCTGACTTTGAGAGCCATCTCTCTGAAGGCAGCATCTTGAGCAAAGTCATGCCTTCCTTTCGGGGGCACCAACGTTGAGTAACTGGTCAACAAGAAAGTGTCTGGCCTGGCTCTCTCCGAGCCACTCTGTGTACTTTATAGGGCATCCTGATGCAGGACTGCATTATGGGTCAACAGTAGCCTCCCATGAGGCTGCATCTCAGCCCACGTGCTATTCTTTCCCAGCCATTCAACCGGTGTTGGTGTTGATTCGAGGATGCTTTTGTGAGGTGCCTGCTCCTCTGATCTCTGTTTCCCATGGAACTCAGCACACACAGGGGCCCAAGCCTCCACAAACAGGAGCATGGTCACCCCTTTTTCACTCACCGGATTTGGGGTTGCAGAGCACAGGGGGGCTGCTGCTGAGCGTGGGGCTGCTGCTGAAGTAGCCGCTGCTGCCGCAGCTGCTCATGCTGCTCCTCCGCACGGCAGACACGATCTTGATCTCTTTGCTGGGGCTGACTGCAGAGGGGAAGCAAACACAGTCACTGAGCAGGGGACCTCGGGACCCGGAACTCCTGGGCATTCAGCTACCAAGCAAGAATTGGGATGTCCAGGTCTGCCCACATAGTCACAGATAGCATAAATCAGGCCATTCCCTTTGGTGGGCTGGACTGTAAAATGAAATAATAGTATTCCATGGGATGGGTGTGAGGAAAAGATCATTTAATGGATGTGAACATCCTCCTCTCTCCCCCTCTCTTTCTTTTCAAAACAGGGCTCATTGTGGGGCCTAGGCTAGTCTTAACCACCAGAGTCCTGGAATTCTAGGGCACACCACTGTGCCTAGTTTACAAGTTATTTCATCTTAGGGTATTCGAGTGTGTATGTACATATTCATGGGTATGTTTTATGTACATATGTATTCTTGCATGTAGAGGTCAGAGGTCAATATCCAGAGTCTTCCCCTTGCTCTCCATCTTACGGTTTGAGACGTGGGTTGCTCTCACTGAACCTGGAGCTTGATGATGAGGCTAGATTGACTGGTCAGGTCCAGTTACCCTGTTTCTGCCTCCCTAGCACTGGGATTATAGATACACGACGATACACCTTTTTATCTTTTTTTTTTCTTAATCTTAATGGACCTTTTATGAGTGCTGCCAATCTAAACACAGGTCATCACAGTTGAGTGTTCAGCAGTTTACCAACTGGGTAAATCTGGGCCATCTCCCCAGCTCCTATAGGACAGGAATTCAAGAACTACCAAACCCAAGCTTTCCCTCCCTGGGTACACATCCAATGCCTCTGACATGTGTGATACATACTACACAGGGGTAGTAAATGGCTCCTGATTTAATGACAGCCAGAAATCATTTGGAAGCACGGCAGACAACGCTTAAAATGGCACATACTAAGGCTTTCAGGCTGTTACGTGAGACAGAGTCTTCAGCTTTCAGCTTCGGTTCTGCAGGCTGACTCCGAAGGCCCGGAAGTGAGGGAAAGTATGGAGGCTGCGCTGGCCGCTCGCTCCCTGGCCCGGGGGAAGAAAGCAAACAAGCAAACAACTAATGCTAGCTTCCCAGGAATGTGTGTCTCTAGTCTTCTCTTATCAGCTCTGCTGCACCTCTTCAAGAAGCAGGCAAGCCTCTGTGCAAAGGAAGGAGGAATCGCGACTCGGCACCTGCCGATGTCTACGGAGACTCCGTCTCCAAAGGAGCTTGGAGCACAGGCTTGGGCTGCTGACCTTCAACTGGCTTTGATTTTTCTGCTGAGCAGCTCTTGCTTCATTTTCAGTTTGAGCCTGGCCGTGCCTGAGGACTGTGGGATCCAAGGGACTCAGAAGAGGGCAGGATAAAGTAGAGCTGCGGAAAACATCTACCGCTTGGAAAACATTCTAGTGCTCTGGGCTGTTTCCTTCATCTGTGAAATGAGGGTGGGGACAATCACTTCCTTAGGGTTAGAGGAAGAATTGAGTGAGAAAATTCACACAGCCAAGCCTGAGGCACAGAAAATGTCTCCATTCACAGGGGTACGTCTCCCCATCGTCACTTCCTGTTCATAAGTGAGACATGACAAATCCAGTTTGTGCTGAGCTAAGCTTATTTTCCTTTTCCTTCCTTCTCTCCTTCCCACTTCCTTCTTTACTTCCTTCCTCTCCTTTCCCATTCGCTCTTTTCCTCTCTTTCTTTTAAGGCAGAATCTCAAGAAGTTATGTATCCAAGCCTGACCTTGAGTTTCTACTTCCATTCCCAATAACTGGGATTCCAAACTAGTGTCCCATGCCCATCCAGGGCTTCTGAACCTTAAGTCACCAAGTTCCTTGAATCAATGCCAAGTTTTCAGAAGAGTTGGCATTCTTCTTAAACATCTCATACTTCTGAGGGTGGTGTGTGTGTGTGTGTGTGTGTGTGTGTGTGTGTGAGAGAGAGAGAGAGAGAGAGAGAGAGAGAGAGAGAGAGAGGGAGAGGGAGAGGGAGAGGGAGAGAGGGAGAGAGAGCACATGCATGTGAGCTTGAAAGTGCGTGTTTA